ATCGAAACTTAATTATTTGTATCGTTATGTCCAAAATACGTGTTAAACGAGTAGTGTTGACGGTGAGGACGTCAGGGACTTTTGACAGACCGTAGATGCTATATAACTTCGTCTGAGATGACGAAAATGAGCAGTTATTTTCAACTTGAGTGAACTGAAGTGAAAACGGGGTCAGTCTGTCATAATTCACTACACAAACGTGAGATTTCAAGAACTAACGGGGGCGAATGTGAAGATGAGTTTAAGATGGCTGTCGTATGGGTTGTCTGTCAGAGGTTTGTAAGTGCTTGCTGCCTCAGTGATGCAGGCAGCAAGCATTTCTGAAACGTTGGTCAGTTTCTATTAGAATATACGGCGCAACAACCCAGAAGACAGCCATCAGCATTTGCCTGGAGCATTCTGAGAATAAACCAACACCTGTTATCACCACAGTAAGCTCAATGGAAAGTATTCACAGCACAGGTTTCTGCTTATAGGGGCTCACTGAGCAAGGTAATGGTTCCTGTATTTCAGTTTACCAGTTGTTTTTTCACTACCTGTAATCCGCTATTCCAGTGTCACAGGTGGTTTTTTAAAGATTTTCTATCCCTACTTCCTAGACCATGAGTCTTTCTTCCTCAACATTTCCACCGTGTTCGGTTGGAATGTCTTCTGATCACAGCAGATAAATAACCAGGAAATGGTTTTTGCGCTTAGCGACGTGAATGATGTAGCCCACATGGGGCGCTGTTCCAAGTTCTTATTGTTATTTACCGATTCCCATGAGCTCTTTCCATTCAATTCTAAATGGTTTTTCCTTGCACTTGTTGAAGAAAGACTACGATGCTTTCACGGACAATTCTCGAGTCGTTCGTGTGAGTTTAAGAAGTTTTTACTTAATTCTCCTTGGCATAAAGTGAACGCGTGAAGGCGAATTCGTGACTGAACTTTCGTCCATCGCATTTATCCGCTTTCAAAACTGCTCGACCAAAATTACTAAATTTTATATTTGTAGCTCAGAATCGAAAAATGTCGGGCCAATTTGGTTCATGTGCGTGCTGGTAGAAGTAAAGCAAACCGTATGCGGCTACCAAATTGGCCTCATAAATATAATCAAAAAGTGTGTATCTGTGAAAAATTACCAAAACATGCCATAAATAGCAGCCATCGTTAAAATGTATAATTTATATTTAATAAACCACAATGAACAACATTTCTTGTCTATGCTGTGTGATAGTTATAATGCTATTAAGTTTTTATACTAGAGTAAATAATGAACAGATCAGTGAGATATGTAAAATAAAAATAACTTTTCAGTGGAGCAAATAATGTATCTTTCCACACATTACCTCAAAATTTTGTGATTAGGAGATCAAATTTGTGCTAGAAGTATAGTTAATCTACATATACCAAGTTCTTTTTGTTAATGTTTATCAAAATACCTTTTCATGTACATAAATTTAATTATGCTGTAGTGTGCTGATGGGGAACACGAACAAAATTTTTGTTTTATTGAATCTTGTGGTCGTAGAGGTTTGTAATAGCAGTCAAGCATATGCTGGGAAGATTATCCTTTACCTAGACATACATATATTTCGAAGTTTTGTTTTTTTCACATTCTTCAGGAATAAGAAAAGGTTGTCTGGTTAATGAGGCGTTATACTGAAGTCATTTCTTATCGCTAGATATTGTAGAACACGAGCGAGCTGTTTGTACAAGAAGGGGTTGTGAGCTTAAGTGGGAGAACCCTCATCCGGACCCATGCAGATGTAGCTTCAGTACATTGACAGCTAACAGTGCTAATTACTGTTGCAGGCACATGGGTTCTGATGCTATCCTGTGCAATTGTACTCCTGGATTCACTGGCAGCCGCTGTGAAATTCCACTGCCGGACCCTCGGGATGCATCCGGTGAGTACCCCTGATCGTACAATTTGTTGTCTGTATCCAGAAGGCAAATGTGCTTATTAGGGCTTTGTATGCTGTGTGTGTGCCCTTATAAAATGGAAGTGGATATACTGACTTTAAACTTCGATTCCACAGCCATGTTGAATGCGTGTTTTCACAGTGTTAAGTTGTTGGATGTAGTTCCCACATAGACTTTTTCATTTCCTTCTCTTGACTGTCTGAAAATGTTAGATCAAAGCTCGAGTACTGCTCGATTTTTTGGAATCTATTACGACTAATAATACCATCAAAATGGAACGTATCCAGCAGACGTTTTAAGCTCTTTGCTATAATTGTTTCCTCTCGTGTGGGTATTGCAGCTATGAAAACGCACTACAGCAAGCATGTCAAACTCAAAGGCTAACACGGGCCAAATAAACAAGGTTTAAGTTTATGTGGGCCGCAAAAAAAAAAGTAGCTTTATTTTGAAAAGTATAGTATAAAATAAGAACAAGAACAACGATAAAATTAATGTTTTCTTCCTGACACTTGGCATCTCTTCTCTGCTACTATCTTTCCTACTTCGAGGGAAATCTTGTTCGCAGTGATTACTTTCAAAACTAACCCAAGGTGAATGTCAGTAATTCTAGATCTGACAGGAGACTTATTTCCTTTCATAATTGTAAATAACTGCTCACACCGATAAGTACTTCCAAACATGGAAATAATTTCATATGCGAGTTTTCGAGTACTTTCAAACCTGGCAGGTAAATATTTCACTGAAATTTGCCTTCAAATGAAGTTATGAAATTTTTATTAAAACGTTTCTTACATACAGTTATATTGGCTGGGCCGCAAAAATATTCGTTGTGGGCCGCGAGTTTGACATGCCTGCTCTACAGTATTTAAAACCCCACACCCTACGCAAGAGAAGGCATTGCAGTGATTGTCTGTTCCTTATGTAAGTTTGCCGTGGTTTGAA